GGAGAAAAAATATTAAAGAAGTTGTCCACTACCTGCTACTGCATCTAACTGTTTTGTGAGGGCAGACATAATGACATCATTCTCCACTATGTAACCCATGTCATCTAAGTCATCTTTCTCAAAAACGATCATGGCTTCTGAACAAGCATCCCACACCTACAAAGAAAAACACATTACATGAAGCCACGTGATAAAGAAGTGTTGTTCCTTTCAGGGACTGTGAATGTATCCATCTTAACAGGAAAAGGATGAGACAATCTGGATATACAGAAGAGGAAAGGTTCTGGATTACCATCCATTCCCAGCTACTAAAGTACATCACATAATTCCTTTAATTCAGTGATCTAGCTTCATCTCAAAAAATAATTGCAAAGAAAATTTTTATCCCTGCTTTCCCCTTACATAATTAACATGCAGAGCTACCCCACCACCTTGTTGTGGGTTAAGGCCAGGGCAGGCAGTTCAGCACCACACAGCTGCTCACTCACTCCCCCACACTGGGATGGGGAAGAAAGTTGGAAGAGGAGAAGTGAGAAAACTTGTGGGTTAAAATAAAGACAGTTTAATGGATAAGGCAGAAGCTGCATGTGCAAGCAAAGCAAACTAAGGAATTAATCTACCATCTCCTGTTGGCAGGTGTTCAGCCATCTCCAGGAAAGTGGGAGATGCAACAGGGAACACTTACTTGGGAAGACAAATGCCATGACTCCAAATGTCCCCCCTTTCTCCCCCAGTTTTTAATGGTAAGCACAACATCACATGGTATGGAATATCCCCCTGATCAGCTGGGGTCAGCTGAGCTGGCAGTGTCCCCTCCCAGCTTCTTGTGCATCCCCAGCCCACCCACTGGCAGGGCAGTGTGAGCAGCAGAGACGGCCTTGGTGCTGTGTAAGCACTGCTCAGCCATGGCTAATACATACCTGTATTACCATCGGTTTTTGTCACAAATCCAAAACACAGCACCATACAAGCTGCTCTGCAGGAAACGAACTCTATCCCAGCCCAAAACAATACATACCTTTACCTTTTTTTCCTGACTAGTACCCATGCCTCAGTATCTACAGCTCCCATTATGAATCAGCCTTCCATCCTGTAACACCAAGGTTCTGAGAATGGGCATTTCTGAGTAGACTTCTCCCAAAAAAAGTAACAGGAATCATCATAAGCACGACCTGACCTTTGCCAAAGGAAAAAACCCTTTATACCATTACTGTAAGTTACATGACATCATTATTGTAAGTACTTGTGAGAATTCAAAGTAGACAGACACACAGTCTATTTGCAGCCCTAAGGAAGGCACCTGCATTCGTCGGAACGGTTTGAGTCTCAGGCTGCAGACATGATCCCAGGCACCAAAACCTGAAAGAGAAGGACACAAATGAAGAGAGATACAAGGTCACATGTGACAATGACACCCAAACAAAACTGAAGTTAACACTATCCTCCTCCCTCCCTGACTATCAATGCCCAGGCTCCATGTGCACCATCCCTAGAGAAAGGGCCAGGCCTGCCTCAATACAGCTCCAGCATCACAGTATCTTACTGTTAATACAAGCCAGCAGAAAAGAAACAGGAGATTTCCATAAAATATCATGACTTAACATTTAACTCTCACCGCCCTGTCACTGAGTAATAAGGCAGCCACAGAAATGCACAGCCATCACTGCTTAGAAATTTCTTTCTCCATGAGGAATCAAGTCTCAAATTTCTCTTTAAAATGAAAATTTATCAGAAGTGAGTTATGAGACTACAGAGCATTAAGTATGTACTTCTTTTGTGAACAGAACATTCCAGACGCTGTAGAGAGCACCCTATAACCCTTCACTAGTCTAATGTCACCAATATTTATATAACAAATGAGACCAAGACACCAGAACACAGATCCCTGTTATCAAAAGAAGTCTGATTTAATCACCACAATTCAGCACATGGAGCACGAAGAGAAACAGGCAAATAATTCTGCTGAGTTTAGGATGAAGGCAGCACATGCTTAAACAAATTCTGTTTATACAAAATTAAAACAGCTCAAGTATACTGTTAAAAATGCAACCAACAGAATTCATACTTACTGCTTAGGAGGGTTGCTGATCCGGGGGAGATGGAACTGACCCTGTTACTGTAACTGTCTGGCATGTGATCATACTCCTTCCGAGGTCCAGCCTCCAGCAAAGCAATCTTCTTATCATGGAAATGGATATTGTGCCCTAAAGTAAGCAAATACATGCTTTGTTACAATAGTCCTGCTAAAAATCTGATTTCTCTATCAGTAACACCCACGTGTTTTTCTAATGAGATACAAAACTTGGTGAAGAAACACATTTACAATACAGGTTTCGATCAGGCAGGTGAACTTCTACATTTTAAAACTTTTTACTACAATCCTGCTGCCAAGATGGACAACCCTTTTGCAGTTAAAGGAAGAATTAAACACTTTCTTTTTGCACAAACTTCACGTTTTTGTACAAATTCATGCCTATTTTGTTACGAAAACTCATCACCAAAGTACCTGCACCCTTCTCTTTAGGCTTCTGCCACTATTACCTTCGTGCAAAAAAGCAGCAGTCAGTACTCTCAGGATCTTTAGTGAAACACACCAAGAAAAAAAAATCCATTTTAACTGGGCATTCCCATGTTTAAAGTGCAGGGTCAGAGCACGCGTGTCACAAGAGCACGCAGGAACAAGGAAATTCCATGCCAGGATCTTCGAAATTCATATCCTAAGTGGTAACGACATCGTTATCTCACACTATCACCAACACGGAATAACAACTCAGCTCTACTTATAAAAGCACCCGCTACACACTGAAAACGGGCTTTGGGAAAGTTCCCAGTGTTAAGTTTCCTGCAGAAGGGGTGGGAAGCGAGGAGGGCGGGACGCAGCTCCCGGGGCAGGAGGCCCGAGGGACAGACCCGCCGCCTTACCCAGCGCGGCGGCCATGGCGCTGCCCACCATGCCCCCGCCCGACAACACCACGTCGTAGAGCGGCGCGGCGGCCGCGGAGCAGAGCGAGGCCCGCGGCCCGGCC